CCTGTAGCCGCCCACGAACAGAGGCAGGCCGTGCACCGCGCCGCGCAGCGGCTGCGGCGCCTCTGGCCCTTCCAGGGCGTTCAACAGCGCAAACGCGTCATCTACCTGCGGGGCAGGGCGCCCGCCAAGCCGGGGACGGCGCCGCTGGTTGAGGGTGCACGCCCCCGCCGCTGTCGGCTGATGGGTTGCCGCTGCTCCTCGCGGCCCGTGCGGCTCAGACGGGTCCGATCATCGCCCTCAGGGGGTTCTCAGGGCCTCAGCACTGGGATGCTATGGGTGCTGGTTTGGGCCCGGGCCGTGGCCCTTGCTGACTCACCAGGTGCTGATAGCTGCGCACGACACCCCTGAGCTCGGCCTCGCGCGGCTCGGATCTTCCGTGGCCGTGGAGGTCCAGGGCGGCCACGCACACGCCCGCCTCGTCCGCCACCGCCTGCAGCGACGCGCGCTTGCGGCCTGAGTGCTCGGCGTAGCTGCGGGGGCCAGGGCCGGGGGTTTGGGGGGCTCTGCCTGGGGCGGCTGCGGCGGCGGTGCGGACGATGCCGCTGGAGCAGGAGAGAATGGCAGAGTGTATGGTATGCGGGTGCCCGAGAGTATGATGGGACGCACCGCTTGGCAGGACGCGGAGCTGCGCCCGCCAGCGCCTCTCACCCATGAAGGAAGACGGCGAGGGCGCGCGGAGCCGGGCCGCCCGATGGCAGCAGCAGCTCGGCCGACAGCGTATGACCCCTACTGCGGACGGTGACAAGCAGCGGCTCCGCCACGGGTGCCGTGCCCGCTGCGGATGCCGGCGTGCGTGCTCCCGCTGCGGTGACGCTCTGGTCACCACTGCAGTTGATGGCGGTCCCTTTGGACGGCCGCTGCAGGTGAAGCGGCTTGCGTATTGCCCTGTGCGTACTTTGATGAAACCGATGGGTTCGGATTGTCATAGGCTGCCGTGCCAATCGCATGGTTTCGATCCAGGTGAGACTGCGCTGTGCGTGCTGGTTTGTCGATCTGCGCGGGATATGGCGACTGCGATACAACAGCTGTACCTACGAGCGACCCAGACAATGAATGACGAACGAACAGGCAGAGACACACCCACACACCGGGTCATCGCAAGCCATCACCGCAGCGTCAACGCAATGCCAGCATGCAATGGTTGGTCTCTGGCGCCTCAGAGGGATCGCGCGATGGGCGGCCAGATGCAGGAGCAAATGCAAAGATATGCCAGTTGGGGAGTTGCTTGCCGTGACGGGGCCGAGCAGCACCACGGCGGGTGGCTAGCAGCCGCAGCTTTGGGTGCATCGAAACGAGCTCCGTTGTCGGGTGCGAGTGCCGCCTCCCTTTATTTGGGTTGCACTTCCTTTCAAACACCGGCCATCCACCTGTTTGCAGCATTTGAACTATTATACTCCACAGTTGTGGTATACACGATGCAAGGCCTTGTTTCCTGGAAACCAATCACCCACTGCGCCAAGAGCACGGATGCAGTTCTTGCGGCCCCCTGCCATCTTGAACAACGCGAGCTGTCGAGCCGTACCCCCCTTGCAGGTGCGGCATGCATCCTTGCAGCGTGTGATCGCACCACGCGCCTGAGAGCCGAGCCCAGGCGCCAGCACTTCATGATTGGCTTTGGCGTAATCATCAATGCAACTTCTGGGACGCCATCACCTTCCGAGCACTGCATCAGGCACCCCTGCTACGTTTTTGGACAATGCCAGGCGGAACCCGCAGGCCACCGGCACTCATGTCCACGTCAATTTATGTGACAGAGAGCTGAAGTGCACAAGCTAGGGCTTCACACTGAGCCGGTGGCCTGAAAGCACCTGTCACTAGCATCCCTGCATGTGCTACAGTACCTGTTGTCCGTCAGATGTTTTGTACAGTCCCGACCCGAAACAGCGTCAGTCGGGGGTTAAGGGGGTCATTGGGTGGTGGTGATGCCATGTGCAAACCAACGGGAGGAGACATGCGGGGCGTACTCATGGGCAGTACTGTGTTGTGGCGGTTGATGCTGCTACAGCAGCTGCTTGGGGGGATGCCAGGAGTGGGTCGCGCCAGGAAGCAAGGAGCGAGGCGGCACAACCTCCAGAAATGAGAGGACAATCTCCCAAAACCGCTCAACCTTTCCCAACCAGTCGTCCCCACTGTCGACTTTCTTTTTGGTACCGCGCTCGCTTGTGTGCACGGCTGATGCCTGCTGGCATTGTCGGAAGATTGTGGATTGCGTTGGCTGCACTGGGCTGGGGTGCAGGGCCGCCGTGCAGTGAGCTTGTCTGCACAGGGCAGGCTCTGGGTTTTGGGTACTGTAGTTGCAATCAGGCGGAAGCCTGACAGCTGGGGGCTGCCCTCTTACGAATTGGGAGGTTTGGTGGGCCACCACCATTATCAGCACGCTCGTTTCAGTTCCTTCATCAAGCACTACTTGTTGGATCTCCCTGGACCCTACACTACTGCTCTACAGGCTCAGTGGCCGCACAATCGTCAGGCTGAGTCATAGTACCCAACCCCTTGCACCCCAGGGAGCGGCGGAGCGCAGGCGCATTGGGAGCGCTGCTGCCGCTTGGGGGCGTTACGACCCCTCATGAGGAGCCAGTAGTTGTTCCTCGCCGCTGTAAAAGCATGATGTAATGTGATGTAATGCATTGCCTTGCATTACAACTGACTGACAGCCGCTCGCGGCACCCAGGCGCCCCTGTCGTGTGGGCTGGTGTTGAGCCAAAATTCTCGCTTTTACTGCTTTGGTTGTTCACTACCCAATGACCTGGCTACTGACACCTCATCACTGGCCAGTGTCTCCTGGGTGAGTCAGACTTCTCCTGGGAAGGGTGGTGGCTTCCACGAACCCTTCCCGTTTCCGCGTCCAGCATTGTACTCGCACTCGTTTTGGTTTGAATTTTGTTGCATCATCGCTTGTCGACAGCTTGTGGCACCCACTTTGCAGACACCCCGGGCACCGAGTGCGTCCACGTTCCAACGCCGGCCTCACTGCCCGCGAAGGAGATCGCGCAAAGTCGTGCAAATTTCCATGGCTGCAGCACGCTGTGGCCGGGAACGTACCCTGGCGCCGCTGGTGGTGGCCTTCATCTCCATACTTGCGCACCCAGCACTGGCGCAAATCCCCATACCTGCTGTTTTTTCGGACACCCTCTGCCCCACGTGAGGGCAAGGTCACGGGACCGTGAGAGCTCATTGGCATCGCTGTCCAGTCGCCATGCGTCCCCACGCCCCGGTAGCCATCCCGCCCACATCCGCCCCGCCGCCGCCGCCGCCTGCTGCAGCATCGGCCTCTTCAACAAGAATGTGGACCAGAACAACCTCGTGTGCAGCATCGGCGTCAACGCAGTGAACAAGAATGTCATCGCGACGCCGCAGGACACATGCAAGACCCCCAGCCTGACAGGATTTGGCAAGCAGATTGAGCCCCCAGCTCTGTCCGCACTCACGCTGCCCAAGTCATGTGAGTGGCATGCACGCAATCGGAGCACAAGAAAACAGCACGCGAAGCGCTGCCAGGCGCGGGGGCTTCAAAGCCGCTGGGGCGAGCTACGCAGAATCCCGTCACACACACACACACACACACACACACACCATTTGGAGGGTTGGTTGGCTGGTCTGTTGGCGGCGTCGCACTGTTGCTGCTGCGCCTTGGAAGGCCCTCTGTGTGGTGCACGCGTGCGCGTTTTTTTGCAATGCGGCCGGCGCCAGGCGCCGCTTTGCCACTGCCCACCCTGCGCGCTCGCCCTCGCCACTTGCAGTTGCGAACAAGCCCGCGCCCATCCAGATCACCGGCAAGGGCCCTGCAAAGTACTCCCTCAACGCATACAAGAGCCTCTTCAACAAGGAGGGGGCGACCTACAACTGGCTTTGGCACGTCAGCCGCAACGTGTGAGCGCTTTCAGACATCAGAGACCTGAACAGCATGTGCCACCCACACACGGCTCCGCGAAGCATTGCATGGGCCAGCATGGCAGCAGGCAGCTGCTGCGAAGCTCGCACTGCTGATCAGTACCTGCGGTCCTTGCAAGCTGCCACCTCCCTCCCCCTCGCATTGCTGTGCAATGCGGACAGTCCCCCTTACCTCGGTACCTGCCAATTTAGACACCTGTGCGTACCCCCCCCTCGAACCACACACACACACATGCACATGCACATGCACACACACATGCACACACACATGCACACACACACACACGCACACGCACTTATACACTTACACACACACACCTGTGAACACACATCCACCTCTCCGTTTCGCAGCAAGCAATTCTGGTCTTGCTCCAAGCAATTCAATGGCAGCCTTTCAGGCTACCTTGTCCCCAAGGGCTGGGAGCCCGTCGGCGGCACAGCCGCGCCAGGCGGCGGCGCGCCCTTGGAGCCGGGGGTGTACAATGTGCTGGAGTCAGACGGTGTGTCATACCCTATTATGGTCATCCTCAAGCAGGCGGTTGAGTCCCCCAAGCCCCAGAAAGCAAGGCAGCTCGTCATCGCTGTGCGGGGCACCAACACTGCGCCAGAGTGGAAGCTGGGTGGGTGGCCTGGGTCCACCCGGATTTGCGGCGGCCTGGGCACGAGGGATGGGTGCTAATGAGGGCAAAACAGAGTGACGCACGGGGTGCGGCGACGGTCCCCCTATTTGCAGCCTGCCTGGTTCTGCACCAGTTGGCCTGGGCTGCGCCATATCGCGCCACTTGCCGTGTCCTTGCTTGCAACATCCATATGTTTACAGAGCTCGCATCTACTGAGATTGCAACCCTAGCAACACTTGAACCTGCAGTACCAATCAACGGGCCGGCTGCCACTCCCCCTCTTGCCCCCTCGTGCTGGCCCAGACCTCGCCTACGACCGCGTCTCGTGGAAGGGCAGGTCGTTCACAGGCGAGGCCTTTGCCGGCAACTCCTTCTCGGGCAAGTCCTGGACGGGGGAGACCCACAAGGGCTTCACCTTCTTCTTCGACGCCCTCTGGCCAGCCGTGCAGGCGCAGCTCAAGGCGCTGGTGGTCAACGGTGACACGGCCACCGGCGTGAACTCGATCACGTTCGCCGGGCACTCGCTGGGAGGTGCAATCTCGCCGCTGCTGGCGCTGGCGGTGAGGCTTAGCGGCGCCCGCGCACGCTCACGGGCGCACGAGCAGCGCGCGAGCCTCGGCAGCCGCGGCCTGGGGTTGAGAGCCGCTGGCCTTGCGATCCGTGCCGCAGCTGTTGTGACGAGAATGCGTGCCGCTGGGACGGCTTTAGCTGTATGATGCCTACCGTGGTGCGCAAGCAAGAGATGTGTGCAGAGAAGTATCGACCGCCTCGCCTCGTTCGCTCTCGCAGTCCGCCTACTACCTCAAGGCCAACAAGAAGACAAGCGTCAAGATCAGCCTGGTCACCTTTGGCGCCCCGCAATGTGAGCGCCTAACCCACTTTCTCAGGGCGCCACTGCCGGCCGCCCTCCTCCAGGCCGCGCGTTTGCGACGCGGGCCGTCCCTTGCAAAGCAAGCCTCGCTCACGCGCGGCCTCGACCCGTCCTTCCTCCAACTCGCACACACGCACCTCCTTCTGCAGACGCCAACGAGGCCATTACGAAGCAGCTCGGCAGCGCTGTGGCCGTCCGCCGCATCACCTTTTCTTACGACATCTTCACCAAGCTGCCCTGCGCCAGCCCGCCGAAGAACAAGAAGGACCCCACATTCGCCATGCCGGCGTGCAACGCGACGGACCAGCTGGTGAACACGGGCAACCCCGACGGCACCCTCTACTGGCGCGAGTGAGTGGGGCGCGTCGGAGGGTCCTGAGAGGGCAGCCAGGAGCCGGGGTGCGCCGGGGCGGATTCCATGAGCCAGGAACGTGGCACTGCTTTGCATGGTGTTGCACAACCTTGAACGCGGCTGTGGTCGCGACGGCCACGTCAGCTGACATGCAATTTGCTGTACCCCCCCTGCGCCCGCCCTGCAGCTACTCCAACTTCACAGGTCACTTTGACTTCTTTCCGGCGCAGCTGCCCGTTGACCAGGACACGCGCAACCTCTGGGAGGGCGGCAGGCTCGTCGATCTGACCAACAGCGCCCAGTTTGCCCTCATCAACTACCGCAACCACGTCTGCTCCTACGTCTGCATATTCTCGTGAGCATGGCAGTCGGGCGAATCAAAGGGCCAGGGACGTGGCGGAGCACGGGCAAACGGCGGCGTGGGATTGGCATGGCTGCGGGGCGGGGCGGGGTGGGGCGGCAGGGCAAGTGGGTGTTGCTGATTGCAGCCTGTCCAGCCTCCCCCTCCCAATCTGCGCAACGTTGCCTTGCCTGTTGCCACCCCCCAATTTCACCGCTTCCAGCCTGCCACACAGCACGCATCTGCCCAATTCCTCGTTTGCACAACCCTAAATCTTGCAATTGTCTGCATCTGCTGGGTCACCAGGCCGTTTTCCCAGGTGCCGGCGGACTACAATAACATGTGCTCGATCAGCGGCGGTAGCAATGGCCTGGGGTCGTGTGATCCTAGCGGCGGCCTATGAAACACACATGTAACAACCCTCTTAACAGCACAGTCTAGCTGGATCAAGCGCTTTACATGCCTCCAAGCAGAGGGGCAAGTCGGCCAGGGGCACCGCCGCACGGGCTCAGGCGGAAGTGATGTCAACGATGTCGCACGCGCCAGGTGGGGTGCGGCGGAGTGGCGCACTCTTATAACCCATTGTCCTGGTGCTGACTCACAAATGACACGATAATCTACAAGCCTGCCCTGCGATGCATCAACCCGTGCACCTGGCGCAAGCACCAAAGGCCACGGCCGCCTTGCTGAGAGGTCATCGCAGGGGTTACGCCCTTGCAGACACCGTAATCGGCTGGGCCTCGCAGAGAATCCTGTGACCACTATTACATGCCGTGCGCTGGGAAAATTGTCACAACAAATATCAGGTGGAGAAGCATCTGTGCTATTTCACATGCCCAGCTCGCAGAAATTAGGGCATGAGGGCCCAAAGCTTGCAGGCATCACCTCGAAACACCGCTACCAGGTGCCGCATGCAGGCCTAGCCGCCGCGGGTGTGTATTCGTATGCATCAACAAGGTCTATCGTGACCGACATCTGCCAGTTGCAGCCTGAGCCGACCCAAGAAGGGCCCACGCTCGCACCCGTGCCGACCCAGCCAGTGTGTCTGTGTCCACCTTGCGAATTCCTTCTTGGCATCCCTTCCTCGTTCGGCGTGAATTATTTCTGTAATGATCGGTGTCGGCTTTAAATTCATCTCACCAACGATCTTCCTCCGTGTAAACCACCAAGCAGACACCCGACACCGACGGCCGGGTTCCCCGGCATTTTGCAGTCTGAGCCAGCGCTCGCGGAAGCCCTCTAACAAGAGTTCAGGCGGATCCATGATTGCAACTCGCTCTGACCGACGCCGCGCCCTGGCGCCGCTGCTGATGGCCCTTACTATCAGTGCGTTGGCGCCACCAGCAGCCCTGCAGTTGGGGCCCCCACCAACATTTACTGCAGATGCGCTGTGTCCCACGTGAGTGCAATCTGTAGGCATGTGATTTGATCTGTTTCATCATCGCTCCAGTCTGCCACCCAGGCCACGGCTGAGCTGCTCGCAGGGCGCGCAAGTGCGCCGTCAGGAGCGCACGTCGCGTGCACCCATCGCCACATCACACCCGGCTCACGCCCTGTTGCACCTGCTCACCGCCTCTCCCAACCTCCCCCACCCCTCCGGCTCCTCGCTCCCGCCACGCACAGCCTCGAGTCCTTCAACAAGAACCCCGTCAGCAACGGCCTGATCTGCAGCACAGGCATCAACACAGTCAACAAGATCCTCATCGGGACGCCGCCAGCCTCGTGCAGGACACCCGCACTGACGGGCTATGGCAAACAGGTCGAGCCCCCGGCGCTGTCCGCGCTCACACTGCCCAAGTCGTGTGAGTGGCATGGCCACGCCCGCGCAAAAGAGATGACACGCAACGCCCGCCCGCGCGCCGGCTGCAACAAAGCGTGTGATTGCATTGTTGTGTCGATTTAACCAAGGCGCAGCTTGCATTGGGGAGCTTCCAAGTCGTTTGCGAGCCACAGCAGGCAGAGCTACGGTCAGACTGGGTGTCCGGTGGGCCCCTGCACGGCGCGCACACGTGCTGTGCAGCCGACTGTAGTGCATCTTGACGCCTGCATCTTGACGCCCGCTTGCCCCCCTCTGCCGCTTGCAGTTGCGAACAAGCCCGCACCCATCCAGATCACTGGCAAGGGCCCTGCAAAGTACTCTGTCAATGCATTCAAGGGCCTCTTCAACAAGGAGGGAGCGACCTACAACTGGCTTTGGCACGTCAATCGCAATATGTGAGGGCGTGTACGTAGACGGGACGGCCCTGCCCCGACCGTTTGTGGCGCTTCCGGCATGCCTCGACCGCAGCCAGCTTGCAGGGCTGTTGTTGCAGGCGGGGTGTGCTCAGGCAAGCGTCAGCAGCCCGGTGGTGTGTGGGTGGTGGTGGCCAGGCCAGCACCCATCCAGCATCCCAGTGATGGCTATCTGAGTACCTCTGTGCGCCCCCTGGTCCCGGACCGCGACCTTTGCTGCCCCTCACCACTCCCTTTCATCCCGGCTGCGCCCTCCTCCTCTTCAACGCGGCAGCAAGTACTACTGGGCCTGCTCCAAGCAGTTCAACGGAAGCCTGACAGGCTACCTTGTCCCCAAGGGCTGGGAGCCCGTCGGCGGCACTGCCGCGTCAGGCCGCGGCGCCCCCTTGGAGCCGGGGTTATACAATGTGCTGGAGTCAGACAATGTGTCATACCCCATCATGGCCATCCTCAAGCAGGCGGCTGAGCCCTCCAAGCCCCAGAAAAGCAGGCAGCTCGTCATTGCTGTGCGGGGCACCAACACAACATCCGAGTGGAAGCTGGGTGGGTGGCTTGGGTCCACGCGGCTTTGTGGCGGCCTGGGCACGAGGGTTGGGTGCTCATGAGGGCATGCAACGTGACTCTCAGGGTGAAGCGATGGCCTCCCCTGTTCACAGCCTGCCGGGTTCCGTGAAAGTTGGCCCGGGCTGTGTATGCCATGTCGTCGCGCCTCTTGCTGTGGCCTCGTTTTGCAAAACACCCCTCTCTACGTAGATCAACGCACTCGCTCCAAGTCCACACCTGCCATCTAAGATGGTAGTTCTAGCAACACTTCACACTGCATCACCGAAACATGGGCTGCTCCTGCCCCTCGCCCCTGCCCCCTCGCGCCCCCTAGATCTCGCGTACGACCGTGTCTCGTGGAAGGGCAGGTCGTTCACAGGCGAGGGCTTTGCCGGCAACTCCTTCTCAGGCAAGTCCTGGACGGGGGAGACCCACAAGGGCTTCACCTTCTTCTTCGACGCCCTCTGGCCAGCCGTGCAGGCGCAGCTCAAGGCGCTGGTGGTCAACGGCGACACGGCCACCGGCGTGAACTCGATCACGTTTGCCGGGCACTCCCTGGGCGGGGCTGTCGCGCCGATGCTGGCGCTGGCGGTGAGTGCGGGCGGGATCGCACGCGCCTCCCGCGCGGGTACAGGCAAATTGAGTGGATGCCACCTGACTTGAGAGTCCTGATCCCTGCATTACATGTGATCTCTTGCATGCGACGCCTGTAAAACCGCGTCCACACCACACGTTTCCACCCTCTCCCGCAGTCCGCATACTACCTCAAAGCCAACAAGAAGACCAGCGTCACGATCAGCGTGGTCACGTTCGGCGCCCCGCAATGTGAGCAACCACCGTGGCCATACCGTCCCAGCCTCCACCAAATACCACTGCTGATCTCGCTCCCCTGCTTGCCCCGTGCTGCTGCCCCTGGCCACTCATCCTTGCGACAACGCACCGCCAACGCAACCTCAGACCTTCCTGACCTCGCATGCGCCCTCAAATCACAAACGCCGCAGACGCCAACCTTGCCCTGATGAAACAGCTGGGCAAGGAAGTCGCCGTGCGCCGCATCACGTACTCGTACGACCTCCTCACAAAGCTGCCCTGCGCCAGCCCTCCTACGGACAAGAAGGACCCTACATTCGCTATGCCGGCGTGCAGCGGGCCCGACATGCTGGTGAACACGGGCAACCCCGACGGCACCCTCTACTGGCGCGAGTGAGTTGCGTGCGTTGAGAGTCAGGCAGGCGGGGCGCGGCCACAAGGGCAAGCCGAGGCGGCCACCAAGTCCGTGACGGCTGCTGTGAGGGCATACCGTGGGTACATTTCATCTAATGTCATGACAATAGCAGACAGCGCACACATGCACACGCACAGCCGTATCGCCCCTCCCCCATCCATCTCGACCCCCGCCCTGCCCGACAGCTACTCCAACATCACCGGCACCTTCGTGTTTACCCCGGAGCAGCTGCCCGTTGATCAGGCCACCCAGAACCTCTGGGAGGCCAACAAGCTCTTTGACCTGACCAACAAGTTAGCATTCAAGTTCGCCTCCGTCACGAACCACGTCTGCTCCTACGTGTGCCTCATATCGTGAGCAAGGCAATGCGCCAGCAGTTTGCGCGGGCTTGGCCACACCAGGGGGCTGCCTGCGCAGGGCACCGGCTCAGCAAGGCAGGGGTGGCATTTGCCGGGGACCACTATACACGGAGGGATACACGGGGCTGGCCTGTACCAGATCCGTTCTTTGCTCCGCCCCTTGCTCGGCCCGTCCGCACGTAAGCCGCTGCACACAACCTTTGACCAAGCGACCAACCCTCAGTGACGGTCGCCAATTCCTGCGCCCACCACATCGCCAGAGCCTATTCCCAGGTACCAGCCGACTACAACAACGGGTGCTCGCTCAGCGGCGGCGTTAACGCCTGCGAGATCGACGGCTTGTGAGGACCTGCCGCAGGCCGTGCCAGCCAGGCAGTTCTGCTTGTGGGATCCATGATGCCAGCAGCACCTGCAACGGGGCTCCAGCCAGCACGGGGTAGGCATGCTGCCTTTTTGTCTCTCCGCAAAGCGGGCACACAGTTGATGAATGCCAGTAGTATCTGGGATGTGCAAGTCCCAGCCACAGGGCTGCATGGGACAACACAGCAGCTGCGGCGTAACACTTGCTGCGCCGGCGCCTGAGACGAGGAGATCCAGCGGTGGGTTGATCTCGACACCCGCGCTGCTGGACGGCCTATATTTATGTACACCGTATTGCATGCCCCGGTGCACGGGTCCCGCGGCTGCCGTTAACTGCATGCTTTGCATGCTACGTTAACGTTGCTGGTTGCTCGTTAAAAGGGCGCGGCCTTGGGCTGTGGATCCGCGCTGCCACCAGTCACCCCAGCGCCTTGGGCAGGTTGTACGTTAGCTACAAGGTTCTTCTGATGCAGGCTTTCAAAGTTGGCTTCCTTCAAACTCGCCTGTGGATGCTCGCAAGCACGTTGTGCACAAGCCAATGTTGTGGGCGCGCTGCGCCCCATTGACGTGCCCCGAACTTGTTGGCACACCGCGTCCAGTCGACACGCTGCGTCCTGCACGATCCATGCCACTTTTAAGCATCACTGCAATTATGCACTTCAAGGATCCATTCCCCTGTGGCCCCGCAAGTCTTGCGCCACACCGCACGCCAACTCCAACGATCTGACCGCCAGGGACATGTTGAATATCCACCTTCGTCGGCGGGGATCACCAGGACCACATAACGTTGTCAGCAATTGTGGCTTTGATCACATTTAAGACGGGCTAAAGCAGCATTGAATTAGCCGAGGATGCAGCCGCAGCCTGCGTAGCTGGGTGGGGGATGGATGTTGACCACCGGGCAACGGTTGACCGCACCAGAGCACTTCAACAAGGCATCGTGTGGGGTATATTGACCGCATATCAGTATAGCTTGAAGCCTAATCCTCTGGTGCAAAATAAACCACCATGATATAGGTTGTTTCGCTCAATTGCACACTGCCTTGTCTCGGAATGAGCAGCGTCACTAGTCTGAGCGTCATGTGCGCCTGCAAGGCTGTTCATGCAGCTGGCTCTTAGGCCCATCAGGAAGACCAAACACATTAATAGTCAACTAGCAACAACGCAACTCCCAGCCTCGCTTTCGGCACAATGAGCCGGCGATCTGGGGCCCTGCTCGCCCGCTTCATTCGTGATAGTAATAGGGGACTCATCTATTTTAGTCCCAGAACCTGTGATGCCCCTCGCGCGCTGATCACAAGCGATCCGGCTTCGGTGGCAGGTGTGGCGGAGAGCGCGAGCGTCCATGAGCAGCGCCTTCAGCCGCATTCAATGGAGACACATGCGTGATAATTTCTCGCTCCTCCCTTCCATAGGCGCGGAGCGTTCTGGAGCAGCTCTCGCTGTATGGGGCGCCTCGCTGGCCGCGGTGTGCGCGATGACTGCTCCAGTCGCAGCCGCGGACACGCAGGTGAGGCCGATAGCAGCCATGACGGCGACTGATTATGACAGCCCCTATGACGACGCGGGTGGCTTGTTTTGTACGGGTATGCGCCCGGTGGCCCATCAGCCCCCGCAGCATCCGCAAACAACACTCACGCCAACGCCCACGAGCGCCCGCACGGCCGCCGGCGCTCGTCCGCACCCCGACCAGCCGTCCGCGCCGCCGTCGCGGGGATCGCCGCCGCTCAGCGGCGCGCCGGCGGCCCTGGACGAGAGGGGCCTCACCAACAACCCCCTGGATTACGACCCGATCACGAACGAGCACACCGCGGCGATGACACTGGCGCGCAAGCAGGGCATGGAGGCTTACGACGCTGGCAGGTGCGTGTGCGTGCCAGATCCTATTATGCGTTGCTTGCGTGCGTACGTGTGCGTGCTTGTGTGTGTGAGGTCGTGTGTCTGTGTGTTTGTGTGTTTTTCTGCGCGCGTTTAGAACGCATTTCTGGGTGGGGGTGTCGCCTCCACCCACCCCACCTTGCAACAGCACCCAACCATGCACGAAGGTACCTGCATGCAAGCACATACGTGCGCACATGCACACGCATGCACACACACACACACGCACACACACGCACACACACACACACACACACACACACACACACACGCGCGCGCGCTCTCATCGTATTGCTCTCACCTCAACCAACCTTACACGGGACCCAAGGTTCGACCAGGCCGAGGCGAAGTTCCTCCTCGCGCTTTCCGAGGCGCGCAAGGGCTTTCCCCCCGACGACCTGCACATCCCCTCTATGCTCAACCTGCTGGCTGAGTTCTACCGCAACACGCGGCGGCGCGAGGAGGCGGCGCGACTCTACCAAGAGGTGCGGCGGGCGCGCGGGCACGCTCGAGTCTGTGGTTGCGTTCGTGCATATGTGTGTGTGTGTGCGTGAGTGCGTGTGTGTGGCGCTGGCGCGTCGGCGTGGACCACCGCTGCAGGTGGGCTGGCTGCCGCGATTGCGGGCGTGCCGCGGCGGCGGTCGTGCCGGCTTCCAGATGTGGGTTGCGTCCTCTTCTCCCAAGCGACCCCGGCCGCCCACCTGACGCCACGTCAGCGTCGTCCTCGGACTCGACCCCTCACCTGCCAGGCGCTGGACCACCTATCAGAATCCACCGGCGAGAAGCATTGGATGTTTGCGTCTGCGTTGGTAAACCTCGCCCTGCTCAAGGAGGACGCCGGCGACGCGGAAGCCGCCGCGCAGCTGCTCGAGCGCGCGCTGGCGCTGCGGCGCGCGATGTTCGGGCCCAACAGCATCCCGTATGCTGACACCGCGTTCAGCCTTGGGCGCGTTCTGCAGTCGTTGGGGGCGCGACGGCAGGGCGCCGACGGCAGCGACGGCAGCGACGGGAGCGACAGCAGTGGCGTCGGCGGCGGCGGCGGCGCTCGTGGGTGGTGGCGGGGCGGCGGCGGTGGGGCCGAGGGCGCGGCGGCAGCTGAGCGGCGGCTGCAGGAGCGGTGGTTGGGGCTGATGGGGGCGGCTGTCGGCGTGCTGAGCGATTCACGTGAGCGCACAGGGGCCTGAGCCTGCTCCTGGGCAACAGCGTCCAGAGCAGCCTTTGACGGGCGAGCGCCCTCTGACGCGATGGCCGGCCGCAGACACCAGCCGGCATCAGCAAGAGCTTGGGGTCGCGCCAGAGCGCTCAGCTCTATTTACAACCAGGGTTTTGTTACCTCGGGCCTCCTCCTCTTGGCTTGGGCCCAGCATTGCTGGTTGCCTTTGGTGGCTCCAAGCCAAGCTGAGTGTTCCTGTCCCAATCCTCCATTGCTCTCTTCTGTTGCGCCTGCCCCCATCCGCACCCCACAGCTGACCCCGCCGGGACGCCCCTGATTGAATGGGGGATGGCGTATGCGGGCGCGCTGCGCGAGGCGGGCCGAAACTCGGAAGCCGCCGAGCAGCTGACCGCGGCGCTGGGCCACCTCACGACCATCAAGGGCGAGACGGCGGCGCAGGCGCGCGCGTGCATGCAGCCCTGCATGGAACGTGTTTGGGGGCTCGAATCCACCACAATTCCTTGAACCCGGCACGGTGACCCTCCAACGTTTCATCCAATCGCCCGGCATCAATACGCTTTTGCTGCTGCACACCCTCAAGTGTCAACCGTCCAAGGCCGCATGGCTTGATTGATGTTTCCGATCCTGACTGTTGCCATTGACCTTGCATCTCCTAAACAGGCCAGCGAGGTCAACGAGCGCCTGGTAGATGCCCTGGAAGCTGCCGGGCAGCTGCCCGCAGCCCAGGACGCGATGCGGCGCTGCGTCGAGGCGCGCATGCAGGTGTTTGGGCGCCACCTGGTGGTGGCCAAGTCCATGACCCGCCTCTCACGGCTGCTGCTGGCGCAGGGGGCTGGCAGCAGCGGCAGCAGCAGCTGCGGCAGCAGCGGCAGCAGTAGCAGCGGCAGCAGCGGCAGCAGCAGCAGCGGCGGTAGGAGCGTGCACCCGGAGGCGGCGCAATTGGCGCAGGGTTTTGCCGGCAGCGCGGTCGCGCTCGCCCAGGAGGCAGCAGCAGGCGGCGGCGGCGGCGGCGGCGCGGGGGCCGGCGGCGGCGGCGGGGTCAGGGGCGTGTTTAGGGGCCTGTTTGGCGGCGGGAACGGCAAGGGGCGGGACGCGGAAGCGGAGCGGGCGGTGGAGCGGCTGCGGGCGCAGTATGAGCTGGCCAGCGCGCTACAAGCCCTCGCAGCGGCGAACGACGCGGTTGCCGCGGCCGCGGCCGCCGCGGGCGCGCCGGCGGCGGCGGCGGCGGAGCAGGGGCCGGCCGGGATCGACGCGCTGCGGCGGGCCGTAGAGGTGGCCAGGGCGGCGGCGCGGCAAGGGGGGGCTGATTTGGCCGGCCTAGCGGGGGCGCAGGAAGCTGCCGCGCAGGTGCGAGGTGCTGAGCGACCGCCCCCCGATCACCCGAGCGTGCTGCTCTGCAGTCACACGCGGTCGCCAGCTGTCTTGCGGCGGGATTGGGGTCCCTGACTGCTCGGTGCCACCCCCAATCGGGCCACGTGTGGCGCCAGCTGCACCCCCTCCGTACGTGGGCAGTCTTCGCCCCCCCGCGCCGCTGCCAACGCGTCCACCCTGGCCCCCTCCCCCCCGCCCGCCCGCGTCCATGTCCCCGTCATCCATGCAATTTTCACTTCCACCCAAGGCCGCCGCCATCGACAGGGCGACCGGGCTGCTGGTTGACACCAAGCTCCTGCAAATGGAATTGCTGGAGGAACTTGCCCTCAGGCTGCAGCCACCACAGGACGCTGCAGCCAACCGGGGCGCAAACGCGCCCGCTGCCGGCGGCGGCGGCGGCGCCGCCGCAGAGGAGGCGGCGGCGCTGCTGGCGGAGGCGGAGGCGGTGGCTGCTGAGCTGTCCGGATTGTGAGGCTGTCGGGCCCTAGCGCGCGGAGGCCGTCTGATGACCCGAATTCCTTGAGCTGTGTCGTTTGCTGGGTGCCGCGGCTGCGAGCGCCGCGCACCGCTGCATTTAACTTCTCAATTTGAGTTGTGAAGCAGCAGCCTGTCAGTTGAGCGGCGTCACTGCACCGGGGGCTAGTCTTTCGCTCTGCATCAACTGTCTTGTTTATTGATCTTGTAATGCACAAATGGATTCCACAATTGCAGCTTGCTGGTCCCTGTGTACCAGCTGCCAGTGTCCTGCGTGTCACAGGGTGCACCTTGTCCACTCGACTTGCCGGACAACCCCTGACGTCTGGAAGGCCTGACAGCAGGCCCTCGAGTGCTGCCAGGCGGCCAGCTTGCGAGCCGTTGCCCCAGCCGCCCAGCCAATGACACTCCCTGAGCACGAGCTGCTCGCCGCTGCGAGCCGGCCAGCAGTCGAACGCCACTGCGCGTGCGGCCGATTACACCAGGCCGCGTCAAAAACGCGGGGGCGGTGCCTCGCCCCGGCACCAACAACAGCCCGTGAGTCCCAAAAACGCTGTCCTGAGGTGTGCAGGGCATGGTGGCAGGAGCACCATCTGACCTGCGATTTGGGTCAATTCGATGCCGTCCACCACTCGAGGTCGCCGGACGACCGGTCCGCCCAGTTGCCGCGCTCCCGCTTGCGCCCGTCGGGGCGGTACGCCAGGTCCCACGCGCGGTACCCGCCCGCCAGCTCAGCGACCGACGTGTAGCCGGCCGCGAGCAGCGCCTGCGCGGCTTCCGCGGCGACGTCCTGCGGACGCGAGGCAGGGTTTGGGTTGAGTTGATGCGCAGGGAAGGCATGTTGTCGTCGTGTGAGGGTTTTTGTGAGTTTCTAAGGGGATGCATCCTGGATTGATCATGGACGAGCAAGTCGCAAGACACTGCTTTCAACTGCAGAATCAAGGTCGTGCCCGCCCCTGCATGAACGACAACACCACCTCAACGACAGACCCAGGCATTCAGATCCCCCAAGAGCCCCCGCCCCCTCACC